AGCCGCAGACCCGCCTGTACCCCACAGTCACGCGAGGCCAGGTGCGTGAGCCCAGCGGGCGCCCGGGCTGGGTGAGCAGCGCAGAGGTACTTACGGGTCGTCATGGACTCTGGCACGGGGGCCGACGGGAGCAGGCTGCTCAGGGGGCCGCCCGGGCCTGGGGGGCTGGCTTCCACGCTGGGGGCAGAGAGGCAGAGGAGGACGTTACCCAGGGCCAGAAAACACACAGCCTCCCCATTCAGAAGACAAGCGGGTGCCGTGCTTATCGGGGTGCACCCGCCACAGGGACAGGGGCAGCCCTTGGCGGTGACAGCCGACCCTTGCCACCCACAGACCCCGTGTCTGCGCGTCCGTCCATCCGTCCGCCCGCCTGCTGGCACGGGCCGCGGCCTCACTCAGGAGCCTCCAGATGGCACACCCAGGGCAGACACCTGAGCTCTGCTCTCCTCGCAGGCTGTGAATGTGCCTCTTCACTGTCCACTCAGGGCCACATGTTTCACATTCAGGTTCTCTCTCGGTGACCCTGCTGCCTCAACTGGCTCCCAAGCGCAGCTGACGCCCACTACGGGCAGAGACGAGGATACCGGTCTCCTTTGCTCAGTGATGAGCCCCAGGCTGCAGACCCTGCGGCCAGGCTGGGTCTGACCTCGGCAGTGCGCACTGGGCCAGGCCTCTCCCAAGGGCACAGAGAGCCAACTTGGGAACTGATCGGCTGAGAAAAATGTTGTGGCTAGAGGCTCCGAGAGACCTCAGCCTGCGTCCCGCCGGGAGCTGTGGCTCGGGCTTCACAGCAGCGTGGGAGGCCCTAACTACTCCCACTGACGCACCTGCACTCAGCATTCGCCACGTGGAGGCCAACACTGCCCTCTGTAAAGACAGCACACTCGGGATATGTACACAGAGACAGACACACCCAGAGACACCCAGAGACACACAGACATGTCCACAGAGACACACGACACACACGCGCCCCTCCAGGAGGGCCAGAACAAACACCAGCGCCAGAACAAACACCAGCGCCCGGCTGGAGCTGAGAGTTGGGCGCTATTTCTTCGCTTACTGCTGCATTTCTAAGTTAGACATTTTCTAAAATAAACATCAAAAGGACTCGTGTGCTGCAGGGTTTGCTGAGAGTAGTGACTAGTTCGAGCCCAGAGAACTGGGGTCACTTCAGAGAGCAGCAACCCCATCTCTTTAGGGAGCCCACAGCACCCAGCATGGTCTGGGGCGGCCGGTGGTGCCACGCTGGAGCCACGGGTGCGAACGCAGGTGCACTGTGTCCCTGAGCCAGTAAGTTGACGCCACGAAGGCAAAACTGTGAGAGCAGCCAGGCCCGTGCCGCAGGGAGCCGGGCGGAGGGCCCCAGCCGCTCTGCCTGTCAGGAGACTCACGTGGGGCTCACTGCGGGAGCCCCCACAAACTCGGCGCTGAAGTGGCTTATAGCGTGCGCGTTAGTGTAAGTCGCCGATGTGACTATCAAACATTAAAGTGACGTGAATCGCGAGGAGGCTCCCAGCGATGGCCCAGGCCACACCTGAGAACTCGGTGACGCAGCGCGGGGCAGGGCCCTGGTGGCAGCCTGCGGCCGCGCCCAAACCAGACAGACGCCAGGCCCGCCGCCCCCTCAGCGCCTCCTGCCTGCAGACGCCGGGCGTGGGCAGCGCCTTCTTCCGCCCCAGGGCCACTCAGCCTGCCGACACTGACCTGTACCGAGGCCCAGGCTCGGGGAGGAGGTGGTCCCCAGGTCCCGTCCCGTTCTCCAGGCTGCCGAGGGGAGCATCTGTGCACAGGGGCGACCAGAGAGACAGAGTCAGGAGCCTGCTTTCACCCGAGACAGGGGCACACGCACTCTGGCTCCTCTGCGGTCAGCTGACTTGGAGATTTTTCCCGAACCTGGTACCCACACAGCGCTTCGGGGGTCACCTCATGTGTGGCACCATCACTGAGAGGAGGCCCTCTGTTCCCACTTAACCTGGAGCCTCCTGGAGTTACCTTGAAGTCCAGGTCCCCGGGCAGCCTCAGAGCCAGGGAGGAGCACACCAGCGGCAGGACAAAGGGCTCCTGCCTGCAGTGGCTTCAGTGGGCCACAAGAGGGCGGCGCGGCCAGCGCTGCCGGGAAAGGAGGCGCCGCTGTCCAAAGCCCCAAAGCCCCTGGCGTGAGAAAGGCAGCTGAGGAGCCGGCTGCAGTGACCCGCTGTTTCGCCTTCTCCTGCTTTCAAGCAGGAAGGAGGAACTGAGAAGTGTCTACTTCTTTCCTTGCTCCCTGGTGTCGGGCTCAGTAAGGGTCCAGGCTCTGTCTGAGTGTCTGGGCTCAAACCCCTGCTCCCAGCCTTTAACAAGTCAGCCGCGCCTCGGTTTCTCGGCTGTGACATGGACGGCACTGGAGCCTGCCACACCCTACCGAGCCCACTGCCCGCTGGCTCTCGGCCCCCAGCCGACTCAGCTGCCGCCAGAGGACGCAAGGCGCACCTCCCTCGCTCCCCTCCCGGCCTTCCTGGAGCCGACACAGGCGGAGTGAGCCCCCACTCGGCGCTCTCTCCGGGGCCCCGGCCGGGGCCTGGCTCCATGACCCTGTTCTCTTGAAAAACCTGGCAAGGTCTCAGCTCCAGCTCTGGCCTCAGCAACGGTCCACCCAAGCCCTCCCTCTGGCGAGGACCTCAACCGTGAATGCTGGGCCCACACTGCCAAGTACCTGCCAGAAAGCTCACTGGGGTGCCCCGGCCTCTCAACGACCCGTGACCTGTAAAGCTGCTCCCTGTCACCCCTCCTGTAACCTCGGAGCTGGGTGGGGAGCCGGCAGCACCCAGTCTCCCCCACTCCTCACTCACCAGCTCAGTACTGCTCAGGGGTCTTCCACAGCGGCCTCCCCACCCCGTGCCGACAGCCTGGCCAGTCTCACTCACACCAGAGGTCGCCAGCCCACACCCACCTGCAGGGCTGTAGGAGCCCACGCCGCTGACCGGGAAGAGGACCTCGGCGTCCCCGTGCAGCACCTGCAGCGGCGCCCAGCTGTGCGTCTGGGAGGAGCAGGGGGTCCCGTCCAGGGGCCTGAGGGGAAAGAACACAGCTGCGTGACCACGCCAGGGCCCCAGGCTCCCGCTCACCGTGGCATCCACTGGGCCTCTCCAAGGTCCTTCCTGGGAACCAAGCGGACCATGACGGGACTGAAAACAGGCGACCTCCGGGAGCCCGGAGCCTCCCAGCGTCCACTGAGCGCCTGCTGTGTGCCAGCGGCGTGCACAGACTGTGCTGGCAGAAGAGCCGGCAGAGCTCACCCACCCTGGAGCTCGCGTTCTGTGGGGGCTGCCAGGAAGTGTGAAGGGGCAGCGGAGAGACAGGGGCTGGGCGGGGAGGCTTCGGGGAGCACTGGGGTCACCTGGCGAAGAGGTGGGACAAGGGGGTGGAGAGGAGGAAGCTGCCTGTGCAAAGGGCTGGAGCAGGAGGTGGCGCCTGGCGTCTGGGCTGGAGCGGCTGCCTGGCAACCTGGGGTAGGCCCCCCCTCTGGTTCTCAAACCTGATGAGTGTGCAGAAGCAGAGGCGTCTGGGTCCCCTTCCAGGAGCGGGGTCAGCTCAAACATTAGCCAGCTCGTGTGATCTGGTACACCTTCCCCACAAAGGACACACTGGCTGCCCCCTCTCTAAGCTGCCAGGCCACTCAGTTTAGCTTCCTTCAGACGGGACCTGCCCGCTGCAGCCTTAGGACACAGATGAGCACTCGGCGCATCTGTACAGCGCCCCGGGGTCTACAAAAGCACTTTGAAATCAGCTGATAAAAAAGACCAAAGGGGGTGATGATCCACCCTACTCAAAGGGGGTGATGATCCACCTGCTCAACAGAGGAGGAAGGCGGGCGAGGGGCGAGGGGCGAAGGCTCTGAGATGCGGGAGCATCAGGTCCCTCAGGCTGGCAGAGGCCGGGCGCACAGGGCAGCCCAGGCGAGCGCAGAGCCGGGCAGCGACTTCTGTAAAGGGCCAGGGAGCAAACCGTCCCGGTTCTGTGGCCCTCGGCGGTCTTTACTGGCTTTTCTCTTTTCTCTTGTTTTAGCAAACTGTTAAGAGCAGGGAGTCTCAGCTGGGGGGCAGGCCTGGCCGGAGGGCGCGGCTTGGCGGCCCCACTGTCAGGAGCTGTCAGGTGAAGGCCTCTTTTCGCCCCTCCAGCTTCCTCCCTTCGTAGGTCTGGCCGGAGCAAAGGAACATGGGCAAACACAGCCAGCAGAATTTCACAGAATACAGCCGGTGGTCGCGCAGGCAAAACGCACTGCGAGACTCAGCTGTGGGTGCGGAACCCCCCCGAACCCGGCCAGTCCAGTCCAACAGGCTGAACCCCCTCCTGTGCACAAGCCGGCGGCTGGCGCCCCAACACTAGGGGCTGGCAGAGGCGCCTCGGGAGAGCGTGGGAAAGCCAGCGTCCTCCCGTGTCTCCTAAGGGAAATCTCTGGGCTTCCAGCCAGGCCGGGGGTCTTGCCGCCAAGCCTGGCCGGCTGAGGTCTGGCCCCAGGACAAGGCAGACGGCCACCGGGCAGGGACAGGAGGCCTGAGCGTGACTCCTGAGGTGGCGACGCAGCCAGGAGAGGGCGCTCACCCCGCTCTTCATTAGAAAAGACACTGGAGGTGAAACTCCCAAACACAGCTGCGCCCCTCGCCTCTCCTCAGCGTCGCTTCTCTCCTCGGACTTCTCTTCCACAGCCAGGCTGTGGTGAAACTACCCAGAGGATTGCGCATTTGGCTTTTGCATTCGACATCGTTCCTAAGCATGGCATCCTCCCCTGGATGTTCCTCACCACCTAAGACAAAGGCGAAGGCGCTCGATGTCACCACACTGAGGGCCACATGCCGAGCACCGTGCTCATTGCTCCCCCGGGCCGCGGTAGGGCCGAGGTTCTGCTCTTTAAAGCAGACTCTGGCGCCTACACGCAGCCCTCCTCGCGGGGCTCCTGGGGGGTGCCACCGGGGCCGTCCCCAAGGCCCCAGGCTCCCACCCGACCTCGTCGCTCAGTGGGCAAAGCGCCGACCATGTGCCAGAGCCTGGGGCGCAGGGGCACTCGCCCGGGGCGCAGGGGCACTCGCCCGGGGCGCGCCCGAAACCTTCGCAGACACGAGCCGCCCGGTGCCTGGCGCACTGCGCACGCGCGGGACGAGGCGCCCGCTCCCTGCGCTCCGCGCCCTTTCTCAGCAGCGTTCCCGCCCCGGTGCCCACCGCGCGTGTGGCGTGGCGGGGCAACTCCTGCCTGGGATACAGACATCAGCCGCTCCTTAGGAAAAAAAGTTAAAGCCAACACTTGGGGTAAGTGGGGAAGCAGGAGGGGAAAGACTTGTCCTCCGTCATCAAAGAAGTGGTTTGACTGTCGAGCCCTCCCCTGGCTAACAGCATCTGAAAGCCCATCGGGCACTGACCGTGACAGAGGCGCCGCCCATCCCACCAGGTGCGCCCTGGGCCTGGCCACCTTCCTTTACACCTGGCTGTGCAGGTGAACCGCTAAAGCCCTGGCCCTCGAGGCCACTGGGCCTTTCATGTGAACACTGGCAAAGAATCAAAATAAAAGCGTTACTCAGCAAGGGCACCTCATCGTTCCACTGCTCTCGCCCTCAAAGAGGCTTGGCGGAGGGTCGACCAAGCCCACCTCCGTGCCAGGGAGCAGCTGTCCATATTCCCTGGGAGGCCCCTGCCGAGTCAGCCTGACTGCTCTGTGTTTCACACATCACAATGCTGGCAGCAGGCGGCCCCCTGCTCCGCACCCTCCCTGGCAGCAGCGCAGAGGGGAGCGATGGCTGCGTCTGAGGCCAAAAAGCCCAAGGAGTGAACCAACCCAGGCAGGCATCCACCCGAGACACACAATGCAAATGGTGGCTCCTAAAGGCCAGAGTGAGAACGAAAGGCAGATGGGATGGCCAAGAGTATGGGTCAGCTTGGCTGGGCCAAGCAACAGAGTAGGTCAGAAGTTATTCTAGATGTTTCTGGGGAGGTCTTTTTAAAATGAGATTCAGGGCCCTCCCTGTGGTGCAACAGGTTGAAGCTCCACACTGCAAGAGAGCCACAGACGCTTCAGTGAGAGTTCGCTCCCCAGTTCAGGGGGTGACCACATGGCGCGGCAGACCTCTCCTGGCCGCCTGCTGCTCCCCTCAGCAATGTACTTCCTCACTCTGCCTGTTCTGCTCCCCACTCTGTCTCTGCTGAATCCTCTTACCTCCTGCACCTCTGGCCTATACCACAGTTCTGTGTGCATAAAAAAATCAATCTTTAAAAAAAAAGACGAGATTCACACTTACATGGGGAAACTGTGGATAAAGCAGATCACTCTCCAAAACATGGGTGGGCCTCATCCAATCAGCTGAAGGCCTTTACAGCAAAAGACTGAGGTTCTCCTCAAGAAGAAACATGGACTCTGAGGCACTCGTATGTTCAGCTGATGTTCATGTTCATGCTTGAGTTCAGGGTGACTTTGAGTCACCCTAAAAACAGCTCAGTAACAGCAAGCTTCCTGGTGGTGCACGGGTTAAAGCGCAGCGCCATGAAGCTAGCTGCAGCCACTTCTCTTCGATCCCCGGCCAGGGCATGACGGATCCCTCCTGTCTCCCCACTGCCCCCCTCTGCAGCGTACTTCGTCCATCTGCCTGTTTTGCACCCCACTCTGTCTCTAGTGAATCCTCTCACCACCCCTGCACCTCTGGCCCATACCCCAGTTCTGTATGCACAAATAAAAAAATTTTTTTTAATTTTTAAAAAAGAAATTCTGCTCCAGTCCGCCTTTGGAATCCAACTGCAATTTGCCCCCATCTCTCCAGCTGGCCAGCCTACCCTGCAGTCCTGGACTTGCCAAGCGTCCATACTCAGAAGCAAATTCCTTAAAATTAATCTCCCTAGATGATACAGGCGAGTGAGCGAGCGTGCGTGCACACACACCAGTTCTGCTTCTCTGGAGAACCCCAGCTAGTCCAGCCGTCACAAGACTGCACCCCGATCACATTCCTGCTGCGAGCAGCAGCAACGCTGCAGGGAAGATGCCCTGACAGGTGCTTAGAAGAAAGTCTTGTCCTGTCCACGAAGCATTCACTTCAGAACAGCTAATACCGAAGAAGAGAAAAACTTAAAAAGCCAACCACCTAGATACCTGCACACTCAGCCACAGTGAGGGGCTCCAAAACCACGTGTGGATCTGGCTGAAACCAACCAGCCACTATGCACAATGTGTGGAACATGGAAAACACACGAGAGCCTTGGAGCACGCACGCCCGCACCGAGCCCGAGCCCCAGCTTGTGGGAAGCCAGCGCTCAGCTCCCAGGAAGGGCAGGTCCCTGGCCCACCCAGTGCGGGGACAGCCGCTGCCTCCCCAGAGCAGTGCCAGGCATGAGGTCCAGAAGCAGCTCATCGCACGCTGCTGTCACCGGCAAGCTGATACTACTAACTTGGTATCCGTGTGGATGAGGACAAAAGGGAAAGTCAAACGACAAAAACAGGCCTAGGCACTGCGGCCAGAGACACACACCGACCGCCAGAGCCACCTGGGCCTGCAGGGTCTGCACTGCACCGCTCACGACTGGGTCTCAGTCGGCTGCAGGAGGAAGCTCCGGGCACGCAGCCTGAGTGAAGGTAACTGGCTCATCTGGCACACTGACTTGGCCTTGAGGGTAAGTGTAGGCTGAGGCGTCACCACACGAGGCATCAGAGCACCAGCTGGTGGCACTCTTTTGTGGGTGCGTGCACTCACGCCAAAGGCCCCACATGTGGAGACCCCGTAACTCAACTATGAGGGAGGCACCGTTCATCTCCCAGGTCTCAGATAGGTCTGAGGTTCCAGGAGGGGAAGTAGCTTGTCCAGCCTGGGCCACGTAGCTAGGAAAGGGTTGCGCAGTGGTCTTGTCTCTGCCATCCAAGCCCCTAAATGTGTTTTTCTGCTCTGGGCCCTCTCCAGACCCTTCCTCGGGATAACCCTGCAGCAACTCCAGGTAGGGTGGCAAGCGCAAAGTCACTGCTCTTCGCGCCTCTGCAGACAAACTGGGAAATAACCAGCCTGGGAGCAGCCTCTAGAAATACCGCGCCTTCCTGAGCTCCCTGTGAGTGGCAAGTGAGAGACCAGAGGAGACCCGCGCCCCAGAGATGGGAGGTACCTCTGTAAAGAAAGGTCTTTGGGCCACCTATCTTGGCACCAACTTTGGGCAAGTTGGTTTATACTTCCTTCCCCTCCCAGTTCTCAAGCAGCTAACGCACCCTCCCACCTCCTAAATCAAGGGCTAAAAAATGGGCGAAGGCCTAGACGCTCTTGATTCACCCAACCTACAAGACACAGCGGCGGGAGCCACTGAGCCCGGCTGGGGGTACCTACTTCTCGGGCGACTCTGGGCGGCCCGCGCGCCTCCTGCTGCTCCCATACGTGTCCTCCTCGTTCTCATCCACATCCTCGTCATCGATGCTCTTCACGTCCAGCTTCTGGTATCCAAACTCCCCATTCAACGACAGGGAGTCGACTTTCCAGGAGTTGCTGCTCTGACTCCCATTGGAATTCGGCCCGAAGGGGCTCTCGAAGGCCGACATGATGTTGACCGAGGAGCGGTCGGAGTTCTCCTCAGAGCTCTCCCCGGCCGGGGTCTTTCTACAAACATCGCCGGAGTTCTGCTCGTCTTCCTCATCGTCGAATGAGATAATGTTGGTCACCTTCTTTTTCTTCTTACGTTCCTTTTTACATTTGGCGTCTGGCAAAAAGAAAAAGGTAGGAGGAAAAGCAGGCATGATAAAAGGGTGACTGTGCATCTTGCCTCTACCTTGGGGTACTCCACTACCCCAGTGAACAGTAATTTGTAAGATAAACTGATAAATGCAGGTTCTGTTTAAATCCTGGGGGTGGGGCAGGAATCTGAAGGCTAAGGGCTAACAAGCCGCCTTCCTCAGACACAGAAAGATCAGATAAGTAGCTGCAAGAAAAAAGGATGGAATGAATGAATGAAGGAGACTCCGCTCCGCTTTACACCTTCACTTTCAGCTTGTTCTTTTTTTTTTTTTTTTAAGACTTATTTATTTAGGGCCCTCCCTGGTGGCGCAGCGGGTTAAAGCACAGCACTAAGAAGCTAAGGTCACTTCCACATGAGTTCGATCCCCGCCTGCCCCGGAGGTGACCACATGGCGCGGCAGACCTCTCCTGACCCGCCCGCTGCTCCCCTCAGCAGTGTACTGAGACGATCTGCCTGTTCTGCTCCCCGCTCTGTCTCTGGTGAAGCCTCTCGCTGTACCTGAGCCTCTGGCCTGTTCCCCAGTTCTGTATGCACAAATAAATAAAATCTTAAAAAAAAAATTTATTTATTTATGCATAGAGAGCTGGGGTACAGGCCAGAGGTGCAGGGGCGGCGAGAGGCTTCACCAGAGGCAGAGCAGGAAGCAGAACAGGCAGATGGGCGAAGTACGCTGCTGAGGCGAGCGGCGGGGAGACAGGAGGGGTCCGTCATGCCCTGTGGGCCACCCACTGGACGGGGATCGAAGAGAAGTGGCTGCAGCCAGCTTCTCAGTGCTGCGCTTTAACCCGCTGCGCCACCAGGAAGGGCCCTCCGCTTGCCCTTACTGAGCTGTCCAGGGTGACTCGGGGTCACCCCAAACACGAACATGAACACAATGGTGAACGTCAGCTGAAACGCGAGTGCCTCAGAGCCCAGTGCTCCCGGCATGCCCGCGGGACGAGGTGTGGCTGCCTGGCCGCAGCCGCTGGCCGGCACCAGCCCGCCTGCCCCGGCCGCCCCCCACTCACCGGCACTGACGCTCCTGGACACGACGGGCAGGGGGTCGGTCTCCTGCTCGGGCCGGATGAGGATGGCCACCGGAGAGGACGCCGTGATCTCCCTGAAGAGGCTGCTCACTCCCTGCGTGGACTCCTTGAGCAGGGAGGTCACGTTCTGCGTGGACTCCTTCAAGAGGTCCGAGACGGTCGGCGCGAACTTAGTCTGCCCGTTTAAGTCCCTGTTGTCGATGTTGATGGCGAAGAGTATGGAGTTCAGACCTGCCCCCCGAAAGGAAAAGTTGTGTTGTGTCTGCTGTGGGACACTCACACCTCCAAGATGACAAACGGGGCAGGTTGACAGGTCACAACACTGACAAAGGATCGCACCAAAGTGGGTCAACGGACGCTGGCCGTGAGTCACAGCAGGTGAGTCTTTCCAGTTCTCTCCCCAACACTCATTCCAGCATTTGTTCATAAGAAGCCAATAGGGGGTGGGGGGCTAAAAGGTATATATTCTGGAGCCAGACTGCCCAGGTTGAACCCCAGAACTGCCACCTACAATGAGACCTGGGTCAAGTCACTGACAACCTCTTGGGGCTTCTGTCTCCTGCTCTGTAAAGGGGGCAGGGTATCTCTCGGGGTCTAAGTATTAAAGACCAAAAAGACCACCCCCCACCAAAACACCCAGCTCAGATCAGCAGTGCGCAGTGACAGGACCATTCCTGTGGGCAGAGGCTTCCCTGCAGCCTGAAGGGCCTGCCCTGACCGCCCCTCGCTGATGGGCTGGATGAGGTAACCCACGGTACGTGGGATTTGGTGTGACTTTCAGGAGAGGAATAAAAGGAAGGCGGCACCAAAGGATTTGGAAGCCATCTGCCCACTTCTGTTGGACACCCCTTTGCGAGCATCAAATGATCAGGTACTGAACAAAGTGCAGTGGCCATCGCTCGGGGCCCTCGCCTCAACGTGACATGAACCCTACTCCAGCTCATCCGATTCTCTCAGTGCCCTCGAGGCGCTGCGTCTACTGGGGTTCCCACTCCCAGGGAGGACAGTGAAGGTGACAAAGCCGGTGGGTCACCTGCCCCAGGGCACCACCAGCGAGGGGCAGAGCCAGGCGCCAGCAGCAGGCCTCCCACCTCCAGCTCCCCCGACGTGACATCACCAAGCTCTTAGCCCCAGTCTCTCTGGAGGGGTAAGTTCCAGAAACGCGCCCTCAGCTCTCAGCTGCACTCAAGGAAGGGCCGTGGCCATGACTTGGCACATCGGAAGGGGACAGGGAGATCTGAGCACATGGCAGCTACAGATTCGCCCTGGCAGGGTCACCCCAAGCTTCACAGTGCCCCGCCCTGGCTCTGCAGGCTTACCAGCTGCCATGGTCGGAAGCATGCTGGCCCTTTCTTCATCCATCACGAAAGACCAGTCTTCGTAAAAGGTGCTGCAGGCGGAGAGAGAAAGGGGAGGAGCTCTGAACCGTGGCTCTCTGCACCGACTGCAGGTAATTCCACTATGTGGCCCTGCCTGGGTCCCCCAGGCGGGACACGTGAGGTCTCTGCTGGCTGAAGCTATGGACAAGGAGGGAAGTGTGAGCACACTAGGGAAGCGCATCGAACAAAGTCAGAGAGGTGACTTCCACTGAAGCCAGACAGACGGGGAGCCCGAGGTGGCCCACGGCACCCCTGCCCCTGGTGGCACGAGACCATTTCAAAAAATGCCAGCCTTTGGGGTGCCATCACCCAGGCACCATTACTACCGACTGGGGCCGCAGACCCAAAGCCCAAATTACCCCTCAAGGGCCAGGGAAGCTGAACCGGTCCCACTGATCTCAGCGCAGGAGGGGGAGTTAGGGGCATAGGGTCTGCCCAAGCCAAAGTACAGCCAGGCCTGGAAACAGGTCCCAGCCCAACTCGCAGCCCTCACCCAACCTCCTGATGAGCAAGCAGCCAGCAACTCGGCCCCTCCCCGACTTCCCCGCCAGGTCCAAGAACGCCTGGTTAGAGGCCGCAAACTCGTGTTCACTGACACAGCTTCGGTGATGAGTGACCCAGCATTAGCCGGCGCACTCACCCGTGTCAGCGGCAGCACAAGCCCGTGCTCAGGCTGCATCGCAGCCAGACTGCTCACTCCCCATGTGGTGGGTCTTTAAAAGTCTGAGCCAGGGCCCTCCCTGGTGGCGCAACAGGTCAAAGCGCAGCACTGTGACACCACTGCAGCCACTGCAACGCAAGTTCGATCCCCGGCCAGGGAGCTGACACACGGGGCGCGGCAGACCCCTCCTGTCTCCCGCTGCTCCCCTCCCAGTGTGTGTCAGTCCGTCTGCCTGCTCCGCTCCCCACTCTGTGTCTGGTGAATCCTCTCACACACACACACACCTCGCCCTGGTGTGCACCTCTGGCCTGGACCCCAGTTCTTGTATGCATAAATAAATCTTTTTTTTAAAAATCTGAGTCAGTGTTCACGTATGTGAAGAAACTTCCCACATCGTGTCAGATAAGCAGCTAGTGACTCAGAAGTGCGCTATGATTTTACCAGAAGGTAGAATCCAACTGGGCCTTGTTACGCCCAAGCCAGCGCTGAGTGTGCCAGGAAGAGCTTGGCGAAAATCCACTTTAAGGAAAGTCAATAAGCCCTCCTTAGCTGAAGCCGGCCAGGGCTGAGGGGCACAGAGCTCCCTGGTCTCCAAGTCAGACGCCAGCAGCCCGCAGTGGCTGCCAGCCCCTGCCAGCCCCCACCCCGCCTTGAGCTCCAGAGGCGAAGCATCACCTGGACAAGCGCTACAGGGAATGTGGGTGGACGGTTTCACGAGCCTGGCGTGCGACCCCAGAATGCCCAGCGGTTTCCTGGTAGAAAGGTGAGCACGGGCAGGGAGGAACAGAAGAGGAGGCTGAGCCAGGGCACCCGGGCACCCAGGGCTAGGAAGGTCAGAGGGCTGAACGCAGCACAGAAGAAGCGACAGCAGATGTCGCTGTGGGTCTGGGCGCGGCTGGTGTGGGCGCCCGCAGGGCCTCAGCGCTGTAGTCCAGCCCGCCATTCTCAGGGGGACAAGAGGCGCCAGAGACAGGGACCATAATCATGACAAGGTTGGGAAAAGGTGCCAGCAGGGGAGCAGAGTCCGCTTGGGAGGCCACAGGTGTGCACAGGCGGTCCCAGGGGCGGGCTCACTGCCAGGCGTGACGGTAACACAGCCTGTGTGGAGGGCCAGCCCTGAGCCCTGCGCCCAGGGCGGGGGCGCTCGGACCTCAGACCCAGTCCCCTCCAAGGGCGGTGTGACGGGGCCTGGCCGGTGCAATGTCAGCAGAGAGGGGAGGAGGTATCGCGGCTGGGGGAGGCAGGGAGAGGAGCTTTAAGAGCTGGAGTGGAGCTGGGCCACGTCTTTTCCTGCCTGGCCATCAGATGGCGCCTCTGCCAACGGGGGCCCGAGACGACACTCCTATGCCCAGGACACACATGGAGCAAAGACAGGAGCTGGGGCTCCCGGGGTACCTGCTGCGGCAGCGTGACCTGGCCTGTACCGACTCAGCGTGCGCTGTCGTTCATGGTCCAGAACACGCAATAGAGTCAGGATTTCTCGGTAACAGATGACCCCCTACTTACTACTCTCGTGCTCCCCCAGTCAGCATGGACTGATTAACACCCCTGAAACAGAAGAAAGCCCCCAGCCCACGAGGCAGGACAACCGTGAAGGCACCACCTGCCTGAGGAGCCGCGAGCGGGCTGTGAGCAGGCCCCTCGCCCACCCCACTCCCACCCAGGCGCCGGTGGCTGTGGCGAGCATGCTCTGAGCAGGGCGGGCTGGGCCCTTCATGGACACCCCTCGTTCACCCTCAGAGCCACGCTCCCCAGCACAACAAGCTGGGGATGTTAAGAGGGGAACCCGCGCATCCCAGTGGAGGGACTCAGGAAAGGTAAGCGTGGGCCTGGACACCCGGCCTGCCCCCCATGCCCAATGCCCCCTCCCTCCACAGCTGAGCCCACCGCCCCAGCCCCACCCCGTACCTGAGCCTGCCGCGGTCGGCCAGGAGCATGAGCAGGTAGCGCTCCAGCGAGTGCTCGTTGAGGGCGCAGCGCAGCCAGGCCCGGCCGCGCCCCACGTCCGAGGCGATGTGGCGCAGGGCGTAGAAGCGCTGCAGCTCGTGCTTGTTGAGGACGTCCCTCACGTAGAGCCAGAACACGGGCTCTGTGGGGAGAAGGGCCCATCACTCGGGGCCGGGCGCCCCGTGTCCAGCAGGGCTCCCTGGGCACTTCTGAGGGTGGTCGGAGTGTGACTTCCTCAGCACAGAAAAGGAAGAGACAGGAGGGTGCGCCCACAAGTGGCCCCAAGTCCACACTCAGAGATGGCCGCTGTGAACACCTGCCAGCTTTTCCCTCGGTTCTCGGCACTTTCCCATTTTATGCAAAGCTGGTATCTGTGGTGGGGTGAACTGAGACCCCACCCTCCTCCCTGGGGCCAGTGACTGGGCTTCAGGTCATGGCCCGGAGGCAGGAGATCGTCCTGGGAGTCTCTGTGGACACAGTCACGTGCCAGCCTCTAGAGGGGGTGAGCAACCTGGCAGAGAAGGCCACCTGGGGGGTGGGGGGGCGGGGGAGGCTGCAGTGATGTGGCCACAGCCCCAGGAGAGCCAGAGCAGGGAGAGGCGAGGGGCCCATTCCGCCCGCCCGGAGCCTCCACAAAGAACCAGCCCCTGCTCATCCTGACTTTGGCCCCCGAGATGGACTCTGGACAGTGCAAGAACCCGCACATGTAAAGTCACCAAGTCACGTCAGTTGGTTGGAAGCTGTAAGTTACCAGCACACAGAAATGCATGTTGATTCCATGTATGCGTGAATGCAGCCGTAAACAGATGCATGTATGTAACCATGGACCCTGACTTGTTTCTTGTCTGGATCATGCACGTTTCCGTGTAGTGCTTAAAGATCTTTGAAAACATAATTTTTGATAGTTCCCCAGTTAAACAAAATTTAACTAACATGAGACACTGGATTTCCCCCACTACACTGCTTGAACATCTCTGCACATAACTGATTGTCCTTGTTTCAGACGCTAAGTTACTGTAGGGACAGACTCAAGGCTTGAAGGGAAAGCTGGCAAGGTGTTTTCATCCTTAAAGGAGTCAGCATCTCCTCGCATCCCACCTTTACCCACAGGCACGTAGATTTCTCCATAGGTGGAATTTCAATATATACGTAATTATGTGATCCACTTAACATTGGCTCATCAACACTTTGACACGCTGCCAGTAATAACAGCAACAACACCAGCTGCACTGCTTACCGGGCTTTAACTCACTTTAACTGTGTACCAGCCTCTGCTAAACACTTCACACCTGGCCTCAGTTCTCACCCCCTTCCCAGCACCCCAACACTCAGAGGGTCCGAGGTGTGAAGAGATGAAATGACCTGCCCTGCGATAGTTAGGAAGCAGGCACAGCCCTGGAGCTGTCTGACTATGAACCCCTAAACCCAATGCCTTGAAGTTGGTGGGAGGAAGGGGATATGACTTCTCGTTTTTTCAAAGTTGTCTGATAGCCAAAAAGCAAATCCTGCATCTCTACAGCTGGCCAGGGTCTCACAGCCAGGAGATAATACGCAGGCTCCCAGACCTTCTGAGAGCATGACAGGATCCTGAACCTTCCTTCCAGAAGGATGCAACCCCACACCTCCGTAAACTAGACTCCGGGCTAGGGAGCAGCTCTAACACCCAGTTCTGCTTCCTCACGAGGACGGCATTCTGCCTGGGAGCCAGCACCAGCCCAGGGCACTGGGCTGCAGCAGACAGCAAGAGTTCAGCACTAAGCGGGCCCCACTTTGCGGGTGGGAAGAACAGCAAGGCCGAGCTGGACAGGTCACTCAAGCAAGCTCAGCTTCGGAGTCCTCTCCTTAAGCCCAAAGGTGCCAGGGCTGAGCACGACCCCTGTGACGGCCAGGCTGACCGTTACTGCCTCCTGCAAGAGCATCATTGTGTCTCTCTCTCTCTTCCTTTCTCTGTTAACAGCACCCAGGTGTGAGTGCGTGCGGACTTGCGGGTGGAGTCTGCCCTGGGATCATTTACAATGCCTGAAGCCACCACCCCACCACCGACAGAGTATTTCACTCCGAATGGCCTCTGTCACAACCCCAAACACCACACTGACCCCCTGCCCAAGCCCCCTGGCCCGCTCACACCACCCAAGTGAGTTGCAGCCCTCTTCCTACTTCCCTCTCCGTGAGCCCACCACCCGGCCGGGCGGCCCATAGCTTGCTCTGAAGCATGCCAGCGCGCAGCGGTGTATCCGGCCCATATCCGACCCGTGACTTTCACCTCCACCCTGTCCGTCTTTCTGGAAAACTGCTGTCACCTCCCCTGCCCTTGAATGCACACGAAACCCTGTAAGGTGCGTTTTCACCTTTCAATCTCACAAATTGCTTACTGCTACAGAATCCTTCCAGAGCTTGCCAGGGCGCTGCTGATGATAAGAATTATCCCAGCAGGGCCCCGTTTCCACTGCCAGAACTGGAGGGGGGGCTACTCAGAGTGCAGTCACCTGCACATCGCACGCGGTGGCCATAATTTAATTTGGGAATATCCAGCGACCTCATCGCTTTGAAATGAGGGGCTAACGCTGAAGTGGGCGCGAGCTTCGGGTTTCCTGAACTCCTGAGAGCCATCTGTCCACAAGAGCAGGAGCCAGGAAGGGTGCGGGGTTGGGGGGGGGGGATGCTCATGAGCAGAGGATGACTAATGGCTCAGGCTCTGGGCAACGTTTCTAACAGCCTCAACTTCAACTGGTGCCAAGAATTCAAGAATTCATACTGTGGAGCCCAACAATCTTGGCTCAAATTCTAGCTCATACGCTGAGTGACCCCGGGCGACTACTACTGTCCATTCCTCCTCGGTCCGCTGGAGATAGTGGGACCTGCCTTCGGGGTTTCCTACGAGGCGAGGCAAGAAAATGAAATGCGCAGGTCCTGAGGTGCTGGGGGACGAATCGAGGCCTGAGGACAGCACCCCTTCCCTCCCGGGAGTAGCACCCCTCATTCCGAGGGGAACCGGGCTCCCTCTGCCTCAGTACCACCGACCTCCCGTACAAAGGGCAGGCGAGGAACCCAGGCTGCCAACGCCTGGCCCGGACGGGAAGAGCCTCGCCCACTTGCCACAGCTGCCCAGTGTGCTGCTATGTGACTCGAAACGATACGTCATTTTTCACTGGGTATGTTTTCAAGATGAACAAATGCACAATGATCTCACGCTACGGATTATTTCGGTAGCTTTAAACTTAAAAATTAAATAGGTCTGTTCACGCCATAGACCAAAAAGTAATTATCGCACCAGGGGTGGATGGCGATCACAGAGATAAAGCAAGAAACGGAGACGTGCGTACGTGACGGCAGGGCACACGGAAAGGCACACGGAAAATCGGGCTTTGTGCCAGCCCCCCACCCCGTAGCCACTGACACCCTAAGTCTCGCGGATGCCGGGCCGGGGGGCGTGGCGCAGAGCACGCACGCCGATGGCTGTGGACACCCGGGCCCAGAGAGCACAGGCACGCGCGGGTGTCAGCGTGGACTCCTGGGCCGGGGGCGGGGAGAGGGGGTGTGAGCTAGAGACCGCCAGGAGACTGGCCGGACACAGCTCGAGACGAGACCACCACAGCGGGGAGGCAGAGGCGGGGGTGAGACGGCAGGGCTGGCAGGCTGCCTGCCCCGCCTGGAGCCTGGTGCCTGGTGCCCTGCTCCCTCTAGAGGCCTGCACGTGCCCGAGAGCGCGCCGACCCTACCCGCCTGCCCGAGCCACAGCGCCTGCCCTGCCTGCCCTGCTTACAGCGCCCGCCGTTCCCCCTCCCTGCCACCCGCCCAGCCGTGGCCGCAGGGCCCTGCCTGCTGCTCCTCCATCTAGCTAGGCCTGCTCGCCCCGCCACCAGGCCTGGACACAGAAGCCACACCAGGTGACCACTGAAGGGTGTTAATGAGAGCGCTGACAAAGGTTTGGGAAGCGCTGAAGAGCCGCACAGGAGACCACGGGCGCCTTCGAGCAGGGCAGCGACAGGAAGAGGCCGGACCCTGTGAGGACGGTGGGCCGGGGCCTCCGGGCTGTGAGCAGGGCCTGCTGGACCCGCACCAGGGCTGCTGCAGCCGCCTCCGTCCTCCACCTTCTAACTCCTCACCACGTCCCCTGGCCAAGCCAAGCCGAAAGCCATGGGCAAGGGAGCCCAGAGACTAAGTTTTCAGTCTACAGTCAGAGACTGGAGCGCAAACAGGCCAGTGAGGGGCACATGTGTCTGACTGAGCTGCCTGGAGGTCCCCTCACCCCCCGTGACAGCCCCTTTTCCACAGGCTCGGTCTAGTTCCTTGGGTCTGTATCCAAGTGCCCCAGAAAAGGGCTGTCTTGGGTCGCTGTAGAGAAGACTAAGACCTCCATCCACGACTGACCGCTTAGCTGCTTATCAAAACCTGCCCTTCCGGAACCCGCAAGCAGACTTCACGGGCCAGCCCCGCCTGGTTTCCACTCTCCCCGCCTCCCCTCCAGTGCCCATGAAACCTGAGGGGCGCATCCCAAGCTCAGATCCCCCCGAGAGCACACAGCTCTCACCCCGTGACACAGCAGCCTGCGAGCGCTCTTCCACCGAGAAGCGTGACCCTACTCGAGCACCAAGGAAACAGGCTTCCAAAAGGGTCTCGCTGCCGGCAGGGCGTGCCTCAGCCTGTGCGGAAAAGCCACCTCCGCTGAGGACAGGAGCACAGCAAAGCTGCGGGCTATAAACTGACAGCACCGAAGATCAGGTCGCGTGTCACCCGGGAGACAGCCAGGCCCGACTCCCGGCTCACGAGGACGGCCCTGCACACCGGTCTCGCCTCGGTCAGCACCACAGGCCCCGTCCTCACGCACCGATTGTGGAGGGCCCTCCCCTGTGGGCGTCTCCGGCATCCAGTGACTCGGCTTCTGGCTCCTTCCTGAAGGCCAGCCTGCCTCTGAAAGCTGTTCGGGACGTTTACCACTGCCCCTGGACAGTTGTCCTTTTTCTGCTCCTTGCACTGACGTCCTTCCTTCCCAGGTCTCTTTCACCAGAACCAGCGGATCTGTGAGTCACGAACACGGCAAAGAAATGCGAAGGGGGAACTGAAAGCCTTTAAGGATGGGAGGGTAGGTGGGTGAACTTCCTCTCACGAGAAAAAGGATGGGCTGGGTTCTCCTGGCACATGTGGCTTCCTCCAAAATTAATTTTCTACAGAAATGAAATTGTTACCCAAGGTGAACCAATGAGGCAAAATATGAATTCTGCTTTGAGCTAAATGCAATCAACCGTTCTCAAAAAGCCCCATGGAGGACCAAGGAAGTGGGCGTCTCTAATTTTACAGCTGGGGCTGTATTAGCACCACCTGCTTCCAACTGACTGTGAAGCGGGGCAGACGCAGCGGGCGGGCCCGGCTACCCGGGAGCCAAGCGGGTCCTGACGGCCGGTCTTGGAGCCGTGGTTCTGAGCCGGCCTTGGCCGGGCGGTGACGGGCGTGCGGGAGCTACACAGCCTGGTCCCTCAGCGCCGAGACAACGCGCAGACAAGAGGCAGCGCCACACAGTCTGGCGGGGAAGCACAGCTGCAGGAGGGCGCCTGTGGGAGCAGCGCCGTCCAGTGGTGCAGGGGCTCGGGAGTGACTTCTTTGGGAGCGACCTGAAACTCCCAGCAGGGTAGAGCAGCGTGCTGAGACACCACCCACACCTGCTGGGACGGCTACCAGGGAAACACGGAAGGTCGCTGAGGACTGCTTTACCTGGAGACTTTCTCCAATGATAGTGATTCTCCAGGGAGAAGCGGATGCAGAACTTTCAGAATTCCCACAGGGTGCGAAAGGGGGAAAAAAGTTTCTGGTCTGCCAGACGAAGGCACCAGGGAGCACCTCCAGGAATGAGCTGTGGACCGAGCGGGGTCCACTGTATTCAAGTCCACTGGACCCAAGTGAAACTTCAGTTAGAAATGGAATTTTGGGGCCCTCCCTGGTGGTGCAATTGGTTAAGTCCCAGCACTGTGAAGCTGTCCGCAGCCACTGCAGCGTGAGTTGGATCCCCAGCCAGGGGGGTGACCACATGGCACGGCAGACCTCTCCTATCTCTCTCTCTGCTCCCCTCAGCAGTGTACTTCATCAATCTGCCTATTCTGCTCCCCACTCTGTCTCTGGTAAATCCTCTCACCTCCTGCACCTCTGGCCTGTACCCCAGTTCTGTGTGCATAAATAAATAAATCTTTAAAAAATTTTTATGCAGCTGGTTAAAGCGCAGCACTACAAAGCCTGCGCAGCCACTTCAACACGAGTTAGATCCCCACCAGGGAGACAGCAGACCTCTCCTGACCCGCCGCTGCTCCCCTCAGCAGTGACTTCATTGGTATGCCTGTTCTGCTTCCTGTGCTGTCGCAGGTGAAATTGCTCACCCTCCACACCTCTGGCCTGTACCCCTGTTCTGTATGCATAAATAAATCTTTTTAAAAAAATAGAATTTTGCAGACATGATCAGTGCAGACACGGTCCAACTGGAGTGCAGAGTGCTAAATCCAGATCTACTCCCTACGAAGAAGAGAGGGCATCAGAGTTGTGGCCACACCGAGGAGGCCGAGCCTGTGTGGGCTGCAAGCCGGGCCTCACCACGAAAGACAGCTGCCGGCCACAGGAAGCACAGAGCCCGTTACCGTTGCCAGGGTCTGCCAACACCTTGGGGTCCTGGGCTCCAGAAAGCTGGGAGCATCGCTCTGTTGCTGAGAGCCAGCACTGTGTGCTAATATGTGACTGCAGCCCCAGGAAATCGACATAACCACATCCCAGGGGGAAAGCAGAAGCAGAAACACAGCCGTGCTCACAAGTGCCCAGGTGCGAGCCAGCTCAAGCCCCGACTGGCTGCAGCTGAATCTCCTCTGCCCTCACGGCCTGAGAAGCAGCAGTGAGTCCTTCCTGAACATCACCTCCTAGTTTCACACGTCCTTGAGTTCTCCACACATGCAACACGCCGCACCCCGTGAGGCCCGCAAGCACAAGGCCCAGGCTGTGGTCAAACTCGAGACAGAGCTGAAAAGCCAGGACCTCCGGCAGGGTCAAAGGAGAAGGCGCCCCCAACCCCTTCCCGCTGGGCGGCACAGAACCCAAGGGTGCAGCAGGCTGCCGGGACCCAAGAACCGCTGTCCAGTTGGAAGACGGGCGATGCCCGCCCAGGGGCACCCTTGAAGGAAGGTCGTACCTGGCAGCAGGCGCTGGGGAGACCCTCTCCACCAGCCCAGCGTGCATCACGGCTGAGCCAGCACGAGCTGGCAGAGGCATTGCACCTGCACAGCGGAGGCTGGGTTGCCCGAGTCCCCATTCCTGGGGGCTGAGGCAGCGTGGGGAGACAGGAAGGGGCACCGAAGGAGAGAAGAGGCAGAGAGGACGAAACATGTGAACAGACAATAACCAAAAACTGCCAACATTTGTTTGTGAAATAGCTACACATCCAGGAAGCTAGACTATTCCTGTAGAATAAATAAAAGGATGTTTACATGCAGACACACCAACATCAAACCTGTGGAAAGTCAAAGACAAAGAGAGGTTCTTCAAAGATGCAAGAGGAAAGAAAAAATGCCAGTTGCCCACAAATTCATCTACAAAGAAAAGAAAAAGGAAATAATTCCCAGCTTGTTTATGAGGCCAGAATAATGCAACTTGACCTCAAAATAGGACAAAGAAATTACAAGAAAGTAAGAAGGCAAGCTTAAACACATGCAAAAGACTCAAAAATCAAATCAATGATAAAATAAAGATGCTATGTCACTAGCAAGTTGGGTTAATTCTATGAATGCAAGATTGGGTTAGCACAAGAAATTAAATCCCAATAAATGGAGGGATTCAAAATCCACTCGTGAGAAAAATTCTTAGCAACTAGATTAAAAAAGGCACTGTTTTCATCTGATAAAGCTTTACTCTAAAATCAGTAATAAAACAAGGAATTCCGGTATTCAATAATACCCATACCCCAAAGGTCCTAATAAAACAAGAAACATACAAAAGCAACTATATTTCTATATACAAGCAACCATCAGAAAAATGAATTTTTTAAAAAAGATACCAACTGTAACAAAATCTCAACTATCTAGGAACAAGTCTAATGAAAGCTGTTCACAAAAGTCATTTTTGAGAGATAACGGAGTTTAAATTAAGGTTACACACATTCTTGCACTGGAATACTCCATAATGAAAATATGTGGCATTCTTTCCGAGCAGAACTCCACAAGTTTTTTTGTACAAACTGACAAAATGACTTTTAAAAATGCATGTGGAAATATAAAAGGTACAGAATACTCATTACAACCTGGAAGACTAAAGTTGATAGACATAACACTTGCCAGATATAAAGACATTTCGTAAAATACAGTAATTAAGGCAACACGCTATTTGGCACAAGAGTGACTGGACCGGAATAGCTCAAAATAAAGGTCAGACACAGCTAGAAGATTCCCACAGAGCCTCGTTATGACTGGACTAGGCAATGAATTTCTTAAGCAGGACACAAGCGTTGTGTCAGCAAGAAGACAGAGAAGCAGGACTATTTAAGTGATAGACAGTCCTTCTGCTCCTCAACAGATGTCACCAAGATAAGCTGCAATGAAACATATTTGTTGATGGTCAGAGAAGAAAAGGAGGGGGAGATACCAGCCGGAGGCAGGATGGAGGTGAGGGCTCCGGAGCGAGAGCTTCCAGGCGTCTCCACCAAGCACGGCAGCGCTGAGTTATCACTGAGCAATGAGAACTAGCAAAAGATGACACGTGTCACTCAGCAGTCACAAGGACAGCGTCTCGGTGACCAGGGAGATCAGGAGTTCAGGGAAGCAGCCACAGGAGGGTCCGAAAGAACCTACTTTTTTTTTTTTTTAATTAATTTCTTTATTCATATGTGCCCTATATCAGGTGCAGCTCCCAGAGAATTCCCACCACTAACTCACCCGTGCACCTTCACCATAGTCCCTTGAGCTCCTCCCCGCCCTCGCTTTGATCCCTCCCTCTCCCACCCCGCAGAATGTCTCTGATTTATTACAGTTGTACTTGAGAACCTGCTTCTGTATGTGGGGGAAGACACGGCATATGCGTTCTATCACATGCTAGACTTCAGGGGGCCCGTCACAGGCAATCTCGGGGGTCTCCTTGTCTGCTCGGTAGACTCCCAGGGCCGCTGGCAATGTCTGAGGCTCGTGCTGTGTACACTCAGTGCCACCAGTGACTGTGCTCAGCCCGGCCCCGTCACCCGGAATCAGGCGCGTGGCAGTGGGAAATACTGACCACATCAAAGCGGCTCGTCGCAGAAATGGAGGCTCAGAAACCTGCGGGGCTTCTGCTGCTCAAGGCCGAAGTGCCTCCGAAACACCAGGCTCTGCATCCCGTGAAATGAAAACAGATTGTTCACGTTCCAGCAGCGGCCGGGCCACGCAGGGAAACGCCCTCAGCCACAGGCCCAGGCTCTAAGAACGGCGGACAGCAGACAGCGTCCCTAAGCAGACACCGGTCCCAGCACTGACCACCAGAGAGACACCCCCACATCCCGCCTCTGCTCCGCCATGCTCCCCGCCCTCCCCAGGCCCGCCTACGGCAGCCCTGGCTGCTACTAAGGACACCGCGACCAAGACAGGAGAGAAGAGACCCGCCCTCCGCTCAGGCCCACGTACCTGTCTCGGTTTTGCTGGCGAAGCCCGCTGCCTGCTTGATGGCCGCCGCCGTGAGCGCCAGTCCGCGACTCCTCCTCAAGCCATGCTGCAGGACAGCTTCAAACTGGGCACACAGGCAGGTCACCCTGAGGGACAACAGTGACTCATCACCACCCTGCCGCGGGGAAACCGCCAGGGCGGCGGCACCTCAGAGGCGCAGCCAGGTAAACACTGGACAGCTGGGTTGACGGCAGGTCACGGGCACAGCCTGGCCACCACACACCTCTCCCCTCTGTGTTCCCTACGGGCACTCGGGAAGCCTCCCGCAGCCTAGTCCCGCAGACTCCCAAAAGCCCAGGGACAATTCACAAGACACCGGGCGACAGAACTGGTGCCAGGCAGCAGGGGGCGCAAGCCGGTTTCCAGACCAGTCAGTGTGCTGAAGGGAGGGGAGTTAACTGCATCCAATTCACAAATTCAACTCTAATTCACATCACAAGTAGTTTATGGAGTAAGATTATCTTTCAAGAGATTGAATTCACCAGGCTGCCAAATTGGAAACACTGTGTAATTTCATGGCCTGTTACATATACTAAAAAAAAAATATATGAAATCTCATTCTTGTTCGTTATTTTTGCGGTAAGAGATTACACTGAAGTCAGATGCTGAGCTGATGGAAATTTCAATTAAGTCGCAATTACTGGGCATTTAATTGAATATATTTCTCAATAACCAATATATTTCTCAATGACACGGAGACATGTTTGCAAAGAGGGAGGTCACAGCAATCACACTTAACTTTCAGCTGCCCTCCCAGGGCTTCCGAGGGCGGCCTGAGTGGGTCTGTGGGCCTCGGAGACCCGCCCACTCACTCCTGCGCCTCGTGGGAGGAACTGAGCGCCGCTCCCCCACAGCCGGCACTGTTCCAGCCTCGGAGTATGAAGGTGGGGGTGTGACAGACAAGGTCTCCACCTTACCATGTACGGTGTTAGCACAGTTCTCGTGGCAGGAAATACAACAGAAATTAGCTACCTGGACCATTTCAGTTGAGAACAAGAAAATAACACAGGATGAGGCGGGAGGTGGCAACAGGGCAGGGACAAGCTTAGAGTCGTGGCCTGCCTGGAGGTAACCTTAGGCTTCTCACAGGACATGCTGAGAGGCAAGCACGGTGGAGGGGCTCTGTGCAAAGGCCCTGAGGCCACCACCACCTGGCCCGACCTCGCCTAACTGCAGGCATTTCCTGTTCCACAGCCCACACCTGAGTAATAATACCGCAGGTGGTTACCACTCTGTGGGCAGTAAAACATTTTCATACCCATGATTTCATTGACTCATTCTCATCAACATGATGACACAGGTAAGGCAGGTATTGTTACCTCCATTTTATATTTAGATAAACTGAGATTTATCTAAGATATAAAACTTCCTGAAGTCACTCACAGGTAGAAACATCTGTACTCCAGACCCAGTCCCACTCACCCCCACCACCAAGACAAACTTGCTTTACTCCAAGGTGAAGTCTTCTCCCTTCCTACTGCAGGGCATAAACAGGACATGACCATCTGTTGATCCACAAAATGGACCCCGACAGTTGGAGAGTCCTGATCGCACCCCCAGCTTTGGAGTGTACGTGCCAGCCACTGTCCCACCAAAGAGCCACCTTGAGAGGATAACGTACTGCTGAGACCATGTGGACAGCAGACATGACAGAACCTACCTAGGCCTCTAAACAAACTCTTAACAATGTTGGGTGGGTGTAGAGATCTGTCTTGCACACAACCCAAGATAAACCTGTGTGAAGGTTGCCTTGCTCGTTAAAACTGCCGCCTACCAATCTGGAGTGGTCTACCTCTTCAGTCTCTCCTCATCTTCTGGGTATGGGAGCCAGATTTATATTCACCCTGGAAACTCATGAAGTTGGGAACCAACATTCCCATGCCCAACCTTTACTCGTCATGTGTCTACACCAGAAAATCCCAACGCAGCATCAGCGAATACACAGCACTTGCACAGTTTCTGTTATCTGTGCCCGTGACAGACATCACCAATCCATCCCAGCATTCTAGGAAGTGCCAGATGATCAAAGGTGGCCCTCCACACAGGAAGTCTACTTGCATCCCAACCCTACCTTGTCTTCCTGGCTCCCCAGCCCGGCTCAGTGCATGTGCTCACAGCATGTGCTCCTTGAGAGCTATTTTGGCGGGTAGGTAAATGGGTGATGAACACTGAACCCTGGTTCTTAGAATATTCCCCCAACCTCCTTGCTGGGCAGATGTCACTCTTAAATGTATATGCTAGTTTCCCACATCCCCAGGCAGGCACAAATTTCAGGCTCCCAGAGAGTTGGGTCACCCACTAAAACGATCCACATTCCATAGAAACTAAAAGAAAAACACAGCAAAATGGAGCTTGAACAAGAGATCCTGCTTGAGGGGAAGGGAAACAAAAACTCTGAGCCACACTTAAGAGTTCTCCAGAGCAAACCACAGCTTTAAATGAATCATCTGCAACTACAATGATTACTCAACAGTCCCTGACTGCTTGGCTCTGAGGACAAGTGAGTAACCGTCCACCAACTCGAAGAACACCTGGCCCCTGAGAGGAACGGAACGTAGGGGGGCAGCACAAAGTTTGGAACACTGCATATAACCGTCCAGATGCATCACACCAAGCTAACACAACAGAACACAAGCGAGCAGGGGAGGGAGGGAAGGCAGGGTGGTGCTGCACCCCCTCATTGCTACTGCCTCAAGGAGGGATATTACTTAACACCTTCCCCATGTCCCTACTTCACCTTCAAGTTTAATCCTACTGGTCATTCAAGACTTAGCTCAAGGTTCCCCTCCTCCAGGAAGCCTTCCTGAGTGCTTCCTCATTCGAGCTTCCTTCTCCTGCAGCGCTTGGCCAATCTCTGCTAACACTCTGCTTTGCACGGCGATCTCCTCCTGCTAACTTGAGTTTCCCCACAGCGAGGGCCACGCCTCGCTCCTCTTAGCTGCCCCACACCTAACTCAGAAAATGGATGTGATGTACATTTAGCTGAGAGGTGCTTCGTAGGTGAGCTCGCACCACCGGTAATCCCAATCAGGTGGGTGGAGGCTAGAGCATCAAAGAGCACGTGCCTGCCCGACCCTGTGAGCCAAACGCTGAGCGGGCTGAGCACGGCACTGGCACTGCCTTAGAACCATCTCTTCCCACCTTGGCCATTTGAGGAGGATGCTGCAAAATGAGAGGGGCGTCTGCTTCAGTGCAGCTCTTTCTTTCCTCAACAGTCTTTCCTGCTTCCCAGGATGCTCTCTGGCCTTGCTGTGGTGGGTCGGCTGCCTCTGACACTTCAGCTCAGTGAACTCTAAGTTAATAAATTGGGGTGTGTTAACTTAGCAGAGCACTTAATAAGGCAGGTTTAAATTAAAAAAATAAATAAAAGCTCCAAACAAGAAAATCAAGCTTTTAGGCAGACAGCTGTTTCCCAGAGTGGGTGAGGAAGCCATGTGTGCACAGGGCCGGGCCGGGGACCATACACGCAAGGTGCCACACCAGTGCAAGGCAAAGATGTTGTTATCTTTGATCAGAAATATCAAAGCTTCTAGAAGAAAAAGAAACAGAGTTGGCTCAAGTTATATTTTGAGAGTCTGCTATTGTTCAAACAGACACAGTCCTATAGGGATTCAGTTCTTA